CTAATAGAAAACAGGAGTAAGAAGACTGATATATTTTAAAAAAGTATAGACAAATAAAAGAAAATAAAAGAAAATATATTTATTTCTAAAAGAGTATTTAATATTATACTATATGATATTATAAAGTTTTATAATTATCTCTATTAGATTTGTGTGTGTTTGAATATGATAGAGACAATAATAAAAATAAATATAATAAAAATAAAAATATTTCTAAATATGAAAAAATAAAATTATTATTATTATTGTATAATATAGAATATTATAAAATTATATATTTATAAAATAAATCAGAGCTCTGTATTATTAAAGCTAATAATACTATTAGTAATTTTGATACTGATGCTGATACTGATACTGATACTGATAAAAATAAATATAAATAAATAAATATAATTAAAAAATTAAAAATAAAAGTTAAAAATAAACATTAGATATAAAAAAAAAACTATCCAATTTATATTTTTTTTTTTTTTTTTTTTATCTCTAAATAGAATTTTAATATAAATAAATTGACCCACACTTTTACTATTTTCAAAAAAAAAAAATATTATCATTTTTATTATTATTAAAAATAAGGATGTGTGTTTATTACATAATAACTTTATCATTATTATCACTATTATTATTATAATTTTGTATATGAACGTGTTGGTGTGTTAATGTTGGTGCGTGTGTGTGTGTGCGTTGTCTTAATTTTAATTTTAATTTTTAATTTTATTTATTAAAACATCATTAATCAAACATTAACATCATTATAATGGGAGCAATGGTAGTGTGGGGTAATTGTAGGTGGGTTTATGTGGGTTTGTGTTAGAAAGTTTTTGTGGGTGTGTAAAATATAAATCTCAATTTAAAATTGTTTAAATCTAATTTTATTGTGTTTGATAATAGTTTTGTTTTCTTTATTTTTTTTTTGGGGGGATTTTATATTGTTATTAATTTAAATATAATGGAATAAACATGAGTAACAGTTGATATATAGCTGTGTGTTTGGAATTACACAAGACCATATTTATATGGTGTGAGGTTTTTGGGGGGGTATTTAATTTTTTATTTTTGTCGTTATGATGAAGTTATATGTGTGCTTTGGTGTTAATGAATAACAATAATATAATTATTTATTTTTTTTAAAATAAAAAAAAAAATGGTATTTCTTGTTCTGTGATTTAAAGAATGAAAATTAATTATAATAAATCCTTCAAAAAATAATTGAAATAAATGAAATTGATTAATTGAACAAACAAAAAAATGATAAAAATATATTTTTTTTTATAAAATAAAAAAAGAGGTTTGTTTGCTAAATTGTGAAATGTAACACTGTGTTTTTAAAGAAAATAAATTTGTTGTTTAATCCTAAAAAACAAAAAATGGTGTGTTATTAGATATGTCGAAATAAAAAAATCCCATTTTAATCTTTTTTTTTTTTTTAACATGTTTATGAAAATTTAAAAATAAAAAAAAAAAAAAAAATAATTTTTCAAAATTTTTTATTTTTTTTTTTTAATTTTCTATTTATTTTTAAAAATTGTTAAATTATATATAAATTTCTATTTTTTTTTCAAAATAAATGGTAGAATCAGTAATAAAAAAAGATGAAAATAATAAAAATGAACAAACATCCAATATAGATAAAATATTAAAGCAATCTCTTTTAAATGCACATCAATTATTTAGTTATAGCGATCCAACAGAAACAACAACCAATGCAACAAACCCAAATACAAATACAAATAACAATACAAACACAAATATATATGATGAAGACGAGTCTAAAAGAATCGGTTTATACTCAAAAATTAAAGATGAATATGATTCAGTAAAAAATTTACCACCTCCACAATTAAAGAAAGCAGCAGCAACTTCAAAACAAGCTGCAGGAACAGCATCATCTGCATCATCCGCATCTGCATTAAATAAACCAACTATTGAAGAGATTGAGGTAGATAAATCAATTGATAATATAATTAAAAGTTTACCACAACAACAAGAGTATGTATTACTTTACCTATTTAATAATAATAATAAAAACCACTTACTAATCTAAAATTTATAGTGAAAAGAGAAGAAAACTTGATAGTGATAAAAATCAACTATCAATTTATACACCACCAAGTAATAAAGAGAATATTAACATAAGAGCATTAAATTCATATGAACCTTTAACTTATACCAAACCAGAATGGCATCCACCTTGGAAATTAATGCGTGTTATTAGTGGACATAATGGATGGGTAAGAGCAGTAGCAGTGGATCCATCCAATCAATGGTTTGCAACAGGTAGTACAGATAACACTATAAAGATTTGGGATTTAGCAAGTGGTGAATTAAAGGTAACCTTAACAGGTCATGTTAGCGCAATTAGAGATATCAAAATTAGTTCAAGACACCCATATTTATTTTCAGCAGGTGAGGATAATAAAGTGCTCTGTTGGGATCTCGAAACCAATAAACAAGTTAAAAACTATTATGGACATAAGAATGGCGTTTATTCATTGGCACTTCATCCAACTTTAGATGTATTATTCAGTGGTGGTAGAGATAAAATGGTACGTGTTTGGGATATGCGTACAAGAGGTCAAATTTTTGAAATGAGAGGTCACAAAGATACAGTCAATTCATTAGTTTCACAAAATGCAGATCCACAAATCGTTTCAGGTTCGTCCGATTCAACTGTTAAACTTTGGGATTTAGCAACAGGTACAAGTGCAGCAACCCTTACAAATCATAAAAAGAGTGTTCGTGCAATGGCTATGCACTCAAGAGATTATTCATTCGCTAGTGGTAGTGCCGATAATATCAAGCAATGGAAATGCCCAGATGGTAGTTTTATTAAAAATCTTTCAGGCCACAACGCAATCATCAACGCCATGGCACTCAATGAAGATAATGTTTTAGTCTCTGGAGGTGATAATGGTTCAATGCATTTATGGGATTGGAAAACTGGTTATTGCTTCCAAAAATTACAAACTATCGTTCAACCAGGTTCTTTAGATAGTGAAGCTGGTATATTTTCAATGTCCTTTGATAGAACTGGCTCAAGATTAATTACTGGTGAAGCAGATAAAACTATTAAATTTTATAAAGAAGATGAAGAAGCTACTCCTGCATCTCATCCCGTTGTAGATTGGAAACCATCAAAAACAGATAGATATTAAATATTAATAATAATAAAAACAATAAAAATTAATATATTTATATTTATAACCCAAAATTTAATATTTTCTATTTAAATTTTAATTTAATCTTAATTTTAGTTTTGGTTTTGGTTTTAAAATTTAATGTTTATTTATATTTTTTTATTTATTTTATTTAAATTTCTTCAACTAAATCATAATAATAAATTGATTTATTTTGTTGAATTGCGTATAATAATTTATTATTTGATTGTTTTGAAAATTGATTTGAAGAGATTTGAATTGAAATAAGTGATTGATTAATTGAAATAGCTCTGATGAGAGGATCAATAACTGTATCTTCAAGTTTATTAGTGGAAACATTGATTTTAAGGATAGAATTACTTTCTTTAAGTACTGAACAAAGTGGTTCGACAACATCTGATCCAATTGAATTATTTGAAATATCAAGGGTTTGGATAGAGGAATTGGTAGCAACTGCATTTAAGATACTTGAGGCACCTTGAGTTTCTAATTGGTTATTGGTTAAAATGAGCTCTGAAATTGAACATTTTGGAATATATTTAGAGATAGTTTCACCGCCTTGAGAACCAAGAAGATTATTAGTTAAATCGATTTTAATTAAAGTTTTATTTGAGGTACTGAGTGATTTGAAAAGATCTTCAACACCATCGATGGTTAAACTATTATTTACTAAACTTAATGATGTAAGGGTGGAATTCTTCTCTAATGTTTTAGCTAAAGCGACAACTGTATCTTTTGAAAAAGTATTGTTATTTAATACTAAAGTTGAAATTGATTTATTATCGACTAAAGAGTTGGCTAATTCGATACCACCTTCGTTGGTAATTCTACAATTGGTTAAATCGAGTGATTGAATAAAACTATTAATACGGAGTGAATCAGCTAGAGCTTTATGACCTACAACGCCTGATGCAACTCTGCTTAAATCGAGTGTACGAATTGATTTGTTGACTTTAAGTGAGTCTGATAAACATTGAAGACCTTCATCGCCAAAATTATTAAAACTAAGATCCAATTGATAGACTGAAGTGTTTGATTTTAATGCGTCTGAAAGTGCCTTGATAGCTTTTACACCAAGTTTATTCCAATTTAAACGAACTACGCAAATTAATTTATTAAATTTGATAGCATCGGCCATTGCAATACCACCATCGTCACCCAATTCGTTTTTACCAAACTCTAACTTTGTAAGAACCTTAGAAGTCTTGAGCATTTTAGCTAAAGCAATGCCACCTTTAGCACCAATTTCATTATCGTTAAGAGCCAATTCGACGAATCCCATATTTTGACGTAAAATATCGGCTAATGGTAAAGAGCATTCATCACGGAGTTGATTTGAGCTTAAGTACAAGTATTTGATTGATTTATTAACTTTGAGAGCTTCAACAATTGGACCAGCACCACGAAGACCGAGTTGATTTCCAGAGAGATCCAAGTTTACAAGTGTATTATTGACTTTTAATGCATCGGCTATAGCAGTACCTCCATTGGCACCCAATAAATTTAAACCCAAATCTAAATGAGTGATAGATTGATTCTTTTTTAAAGCATTTGCGATTACTGTACCACCCTTTTGCATGAGTCTATTATTGTAAAGATTTAAATAAGTTACTGATTTATTGGTCTTTAAGGCATCGGCTAATCTATCGATGACATAATTGGTTGCTGAATTATTCTTTAAATCGATGGTAGTTAAACTTTTGATTTTGTCGATATATTCGCTGACTTTACCGACTCTCATAATAAGTTTGGTAAAATTGTATGGTTCTGATGTGACGCTTGGAAATCTTGCTAAAATTCCATCTTGACTATATTCGATTAATGGTTCTGATGGCTGACTAGTTGCAATTGTCATTTCACTCCATGCCTTTGGTAAAACTTCAATGGTCCATAATTTGCATACCAATGTATAATTTACAAACCAATATGATGAACTATTGATTTTATTAACATAACCAAATAATTTAATTAAAATTGGTATTGGTAATTCATTAATATTTGTTATTGCCATTTTGTTTGGTTTGGTTATTTTTTTTTAATTAATAAAAATACAATTTAAAATAAATAAATAAATAATATATAAATAAAGAAAGAAAAATTATGATTTCTATTTAGGTTTCTTTTACAACTAAATAAAAAAAAAAATTTTTAAAAATTAAAAAATTAAAAAAAATTCAAAAAAAAAAAAATTTTAAAAAAATATCTAATTTTCAAATAATAAATATATAACCAATAATTAAATTTTAAAATAAAAAAACCCATTGTTCAGTGCATTTAATTATAAATCAGTTTTTATTAAATTACTAAAATTTAAATACAAATCACTTATTTTATTAATTTAAATACCTATTATTATTTTTTTTTTTAAATTAAATATATCTATTTTTAAAAAATGAAAAAAATGGGGTGGTGGGGTTATTTTAAGTTTTTTTTTTTGTTTTTTTTTTTTTTTTTTTTGTTCCCAACACAATATAATAACTCACCCATAGATATATAAAAAATATTAATCAATCAAAACTATAAATAAAATAAATAAATAAAAAAATGAAAAATAAATAATTAAAAAAATGAAAAATAAAAAAAAAAAAAAACCGAATAAAAAGTCGTTTTTTGCAATTTATAAATTTTTTTTTTTTTTCATTAAAATTATATTCATTCGCTTTTAGATATTTAAATATATATAAACAAAAAAATAAATAACCTTTTATTTTAAAAAATGTTTCTATCTAAAAGAGTTTGTTCCAATATAGTTAGAAATAATTATTATAAAACCATATCAACCAACACATTATTTTTAAATACAAATACAAATACAAATATATATATAAATATAAATAATAATAATAATGATATAGATAATAAATCATTTTGTACAAAATCAACCCCCACAAAAAATAAAAAGGTTTCGAAAAATTTAAATAAACTTAAAAAAAAAAAAGCCAATAAAATTGCATTATCAGATACAAAGAAATTATTAGCAAAATATTCAATGAAAAACCCAGATGACCCAAATGATAATCCAGCATATTACGAAGAGGATAACGAAGATTTTGATAGTGAGGATTATAGCGAAGATGCAGACATTGTCCCAAATAAAGATTTTATTCAAGACGAAGATTTTGATAGAGAACTCGAAGAAAAGTTACAATTAGATGGTTTTGAAGGTGATACAGAGTTTATTAGAAATACTTCAATAATAGAAAGAAAGAGTAAACAGTTAAAAAAAGTAGAAGACGAAATCCAACAATTATCAAAGGTACCTGAGCAACCAACAGAAGATGAGGAGCCACTCAATTTCGATGACGATGATGACATTAGCACATTTACCGATGATGGAGCTGACCTTGACGAGGATGATCCAGAAGATAGAGCACTAATTGAAGAAGAAATGAAATTAGAGTTTTGGGCTAGACAAATGGCCTTAAGAGATTCATTGAAGACTGATGGTGGTGTTTATTTATTAGATGAAAAAACTTATACCGAGCCAATCAAGAATTATAAAATAATGGGAAAGAAATTAATGAAAAAAAGATTAGAAGACCTTCAAAAAGAAAGAGATGAAAGACAAAGATTAAAAGATAAAATTAAAAAGATGAAGTTAGCAGAGATGGGTATTGATAAAGAGTTGGAAACTCAAATCGATCAAATCGAAAAAGAATCAAAAACCAAAACCAATGAAACATTAAAAGAATTATTATCAGAAGAGGAATTTGCTCAAATCCAACAGCAAGAAGAGGGACAAGATTTTGGCGATAATCAAATGGATGAAGATGAAGAACTTGAAGAAGAATATCAAAATGATGGTTTACCAAATTTAAGTAGACTTCGTCCACATACCCACATCCCACCACCATTAGAAATTATTCAAGAGTTTTTAGAAATTAGAAAGAATGAATTATTAAAGAAGTCAGAAGAAGCAGCAGATGAGTTTGAAAGAAAACGTCGTATGAAGAGAATTGAGTTTATGGCTAGAAAGAAGGAACTTCAACATAAGCAAATGATAGAAAACTTTAAAAAGAAAGGTTTGTATGATTCAGTTATTTCCGATGAAGATGATTCTCCTATAGAAATCGATCCAAAGGTATTCCATCGATTCCAATCTGGTGAAATTACCGAAGAAGAAATGTTTGAAATCTCAAAAAACACACCAATCGAAGAAATCGAACTTGAGTATGACCATGAAGGCCGTAGAAAGAGAGATAATGAATTTTTAAAGCATTGGAAAATTGGTAGTATTGGTATTCCACCACTTTTAAAGAAGAGAATTGCTTCAACTATTAAACAAATGCCAACAGCGGAGTTAAGAAGCAAAGCTGAAACCTTATCAGAGAATCTTAGAGCTAGAACAAGATTGGGTAAATCAATAGGAAGTCCTTCAATTGTACCAAGCACAGATGATAAACCAGTAATTACTTATGGAAAAGGTGAAGCCATGGCCTATATATCACATAGAATGCCTGGTGTTTATGCATGCACCCATAGAGTATTCTCTGAAATTAAAACTAGAGTACCAAATTTCAATCCAACCACACTTTTAGATTATGGCTCAGGTCCAGGTACAGTACTTTGGTCAGCCAGCACAATGTGGGGTGAACATTTAAAGAGAATAAGAGCCGTTGAACCAAGTCCATTTATGATTGAAATAGCTAAAAAACTTATGGAAGGTAACACCAATCATATTAAATGGACAAATTATTTAAATACCGAGCAACACGAACGTAGAGATGGTTCACTTCCAGAGTCAGAAATGAATGAACTTGTTACAGCTTCATATGTTCTCAGCGAATTGCCAGATCAACTTTCACGTTTCACACTTGTAAAAGATTTATGGAGAAATGTTAAACCAAGTGGTATGTTAGTGATTATTGAACCAGGTACACCAATAGGTTTTGGAATTATCAAAGAGATTAGACAAATGTTATTGGACGAAGGCGAAGAACAATTAACCATTCATAAATCAACAAAAGCTCAAGTTGTTGCACCATGTCCACACAGTGGTAAATGTCCATTAGGTTTTAATTCATGGTGTCATTTTTCACAACGTGTTGAAAGACCAAACTTCCAAAAACTTGCTAAAGGTCCAGGTTCAACCATGCCATTCGAAGATGAAAAATACTCTTATATAGTATTATCAAAAGTTGTAAAATCAAATATTCCAAATCAATTAGAAAAACAATTAAATATTTATGGTGAAGAAGAATTAAAAGAAGTTAAACCTTGGTCACGTTTAATTGAAGCACCATTAAAAAGAGGTGGTCATGTAATTTTAGATGTTTGTTCACCACATGGAGAAATTAATAGAGTTACAGTCGCAAAGTATGTTTTTTTTTTTCATTATTTAATTTTAATTTTAAAATATTTTATTAACACCCTTTTTTTGAAATATAGATCCCATGGAAGAGAGATTTATAAAGAAGCCAGAAAATCATTTTGGAGTGATGCATTTATATTACCAGAGGATACTGTAGATTTTAGAGAGCATAGATTTAATTCCACAGCAGAACAAGAACAAGAATTTTTAAGATTACAAGAGTTAGAAAAAGAAAGATTGGCAAAGAGTTTAAAGAAACAACACAAGAAGGTATCAGCAATTAAACAATTAGAAAAAGAAGAAGAAAAAGAAAGAATTGAAGCTAATAGATCTGTTGCAGCAAAGAAGAAAGAGGAAGAATGGATGAAAGAGTTGGGTGGAGGTGATCGTAAGATTTTAGAAAAATTAATTAAACAAGGTAGATTCAGCACTGAGGAAACGTCATCATTATTTGGTGACCCAGCACTTGAAAAACCAATTAAGAGCAAACCACAAGCAGGTCTAGATTTTATAGAGGATGCCAATGAAATTGATAAAGAGGAAGAAAGAAAAGCAATCGAAGAGCAGGAAGAAAGAGAAAGAAAAGAAAAACAATTAGGTGAATCAAGAAAATCAAGAAAAACTAGAAAGGCTTTATTATTAAATGAATTGAAGTCATTCAAGAGACAATCAATGACACCTGAACAAAAAGAAGAATTTGATAAAAAGAGAGAAATGTTTTTACAACAAAAGAAAGAAGTAAAAGAAAACGATCCAACTCGTATTGAATATTATCTTAAAGATTTGGATAGAAATCAAGATACAGTCTCAGAAATCGAATCAGAAAGACGTTTCAAAGAAAGATTAGAAAAACAAACTGAACAAAAAGAACAATTTGAAAAGGTACCTGGTTTTGGTATCAACTCAAAATTAATGCGTGATTTACCAGCCGATACATCAAAAGTTGTTAAATATGATAAACTTCAAGAATTTAAAAAGTTTAAAGAAGAACAATTAAAAAAACAAAAAAAACTTAAACAACAACAACAACAAGATGATACATTTAATAATGTAGATTAATATAAATAAATTAATAAAATATTATTATTTGAATCATATTAAAATAAAATAATAATTTTATTTTAATAAATAATTTTAAAAAAAAAAAAAAAAATTTTATATTTAATTTGATTGGTCTATTTTTACTTTATTTTTTTTAAAGAAATAAATATAATTAAAGTGCATGTGGGTATAAAAAAATAATAAAAAAATTTTATTTTTAAAAAGGAAATCTTTCAAAATATTAAAATCCTAATATAATCAATCAAAATAAATAATAGAATCTAATTTTAATCTTATTTTTAATTATTTTTCATATTTTTTATTATAAAACTACAAATGGTTTTCATTGGACAATCTGGATCTGTTCGAAAAGAAATATGTAAACGCTATTATGATGATGAATACAATAAAAATTGTAGCTTCTTAATATAGGTGATGGATTTGACTGTTTATTTAAACTTCCTTTTAAACCAATAAAAAGGTTTTTTAAATACTATAAAAAAAATACAACAACAATAACACTTTTTCATTAACCCCCAAGTTGAAAAAAATTAAAAAAATTTTTTACCCCCTCCAACCTTTTTTAATAATTAGGTGTGTTAGGTGTGGGTATTTAATTTTCATAAAATAAAGAATTAGATTATTATTTTATTAATTAGGTATTACAATTCAAAGATCTACATTAAATATTTTATTATTTTATTTTATTTTTTTTCTTTATTTTTATTTTATAAAATTTTTTGTATTTATTTATTATAAATATAAAAAAAAATTATTATTTCCTTTTTATATTTTTTAAAAACTTTTTTAAAATAACCCTTTAATATTAAATAAATTTTGCTAATTTTTAAAAATGAAATTATTGTTTACAATTTTATTATTAATTTCAACATTTTTTTTTACAAATGCTGAAAATTCATCTTCAACAGTACCAAGTTCAACCCAAACTAGTGGTAAACCTCTCATTGAAGTGGTAGAAGGCCTAGTTTATCAAACCGCAGACCGTCAATACTTTAGAGCTTATATTATCAACAATACCGAATACCTCGAATTCCATAATGTTACCATTGGTTGTTTAGATTGCTATGGTAATTCTGATCAATATGAAGTTAGCCCACCATTAATTAAGAATTCTGATGGTACCTATACCTTACCAACATTACATAAGAAATCTTACGAAACTTTTGCATACAATGGACCACATAGTGCAAAATGGTATGTCATTTCATCTCAATAGAATCAATAAATTTGATTTTTAAAACAATATTGATTAAAAAATAAATATAAAAATTAAAGTTTTTTTATAGAATTATTATTATTTTCTTTAAAAAAATAATTATAAAAAATAATAATTTAAAAATTGAGAAATAAAATTTTTTAAAAAAAAAGTTTTTTTTTTTATTTCTCAATTTTTTAAAAAATAAATTTGTTTTTTTAAATTAAAATATTTTTAAAAAAAAAGTTTTTTTTTTTATTTTTTTATTTTTTTTTTTTTCTGTTTTTTCCAATATCAATATTTTTTCAATTGGGGAAAAAGATTGTTCTTACCTGTTTTCTTTTTGAGTATTGGCACTTATAAAATTATCATCTGATTTTCTTGGATGAATGTGATTAAAAATTTGGTCGGATGTGTTGGGGTTTTTTGCTCTTTTGAGTTCCCTTGGTTATTTGATTGATCTGCCTGTTTTTGAATTTAAGTGAACTTGTCGTATTTGTTGTTGATTATCTTATTAAGCTTGGGCCCATTCAATAAAAGTAATTTCTTTTATTTTTTAAAAAAAAATCTTTTTGATTAAAAAAAAAATCATCACTTTATTTTTTTACACACCCTATTTCCATTTTAAATAATAATAAAAAAATGGAATATTTATTAGCATCTGTCCTTTTTGTTGTCTTCATTTGTCATTATTCATATATATATATTTCTTCAACGACAACACCAATAAAGGCACCTACAGAGATTGAAACTACGACCCAAAGCACCATAATTCCGATCCACAAAATCAAAATAATAAGAAAACTTGTGCTGAATCACAACCACCATACTCGGCACCAAATCTAAATGATCATACAAGGGAACAATCACATCATCACCAATCACCACATTTATTCTTCGCACAAATTCAAAATGTTAAGATTTGGTTTCAAAAATCATACGGGGCAAAACCAAGCAATCAATATAATCTACCATTTAAAGCACCATCACACTACCTATCCCATTCTCAAAAGGAATCTCGTTATGATTCCACTGGTGCATCAAATTCATCAAGATCATCCCAATATCCTTCTCACAATGAAAAGGAATCTCGTTATGATTCCTCGGGTGCATCAGCCTCATCGCCATCATCTAGATCATCACCATCCCATTTTGAAAAGCAATCTAGTTATGATTCCACCGGTGCCCATCTACATCGCCATCATCTAGATCATCACCATCCTCATCACCATCTCACAATGAAAAGGAATCTAGTTATGATTCCTCAAGAGCACCTACCTCATCAATATCATCGACTTTACTAGTTACGATTCCAGAAGAGAACCAAACTCTTCCAATTATCAGAGTTTAAGGATATTAAAAAAAAATTAATAAAAAAATTAATAAAAAAATCGAAAAATGAATACGATAACGATAATCGGTAAAAAGTGAGGATAACGATAATTTTTAATCTCTAAAAAATAAAAAAAATTCACAATTTATCTTTAATATAAAAATCAAAATCCAAAATTTCATTTTTTTTCATGTACTATAGTTTATTTTTGTAAATATATTATTTTTTAAGACAAAAAAGATTCTACATTTAATTCAATTGCAAAAACTGGTTTTAAAACGCCAAATCGCGAAGTTATTCCAGGCAAAGGTTTTAATAATAATGCAGTGGATGTATATAAATTAAGTTTAGGTTTAGGTGTTTCAAGATCAAGTAGTAATAGGAGAATAGTTATGTCAATTTGTGGTATAGATCCATTATTATCAGAATCAATTCAAAAAGATAATTTTAAATCATATTCATTGATTAAACTCAAAAACTTGTTACTGCTAAATTAAAATGTGAAAATTTTAAAATTTATTTTTTATTTATCCATAAGTCCTCATCGTCCTTTTAAAGCTCAATCATATATATATTCTACATTATAATATTCATAAAATAAATTAAATAAAGATATTACAAACAATACATAGTTTTTTCTTATTTTATTTATTTATTTATTTTTTTTTAATTAATTTTTATTTCATGTTCATCATTATATAACAAATAATTATTATTTTTCTATTTTTTTATTTTTTTATTTTTTTATTTTTTTAATTAATCAAAAATAATACACCTGATACACAAATAATTTTCTACAAATTTTATATAAATCATGAAACAAAAAAAATATTTACAAATATAAAATATAATACATAAGAAAAAAATGAAATTTTGGATTTTGATTTTTAAAAATTTTGATTTTATAGTTTATTATTTTATAAATATTGATTAAGAAAATAAACAAAGGTTTTATAAAGAGGAAGGAAATAATATATTTTAGTTTCCATTTGGTAGGAAAATATTAATCATGGCTGATAACTTTATTTTTTATTAATTTTAAATAAACCAGGTGGAACTACTTGTTTAAAACACTCACCGAATGTGAGTGCTGTAAGACTATTTGATAATGTGCCAGGTAGAACTACTTGGTTAAAATAACGACCGAATGTGAGTGTTGTTAGACTATTTGGTAAAGTGCCGGGTGGAATTACTTGGTTAAAATCATGACCGAATATGAGTGTTGTAAGACTATTTGGTAATGAGCCGGGTGGAACTACTTGGTTAAAACGATGACCGAATGTGAGTGTTGTGAGATTATTTGGTAATGAGCCGGGTGGAACTACTTGGTTAAAACGATGACCGAATGTGAGTGTTGTAAGACTATTTGGTAATGAGCCGGGTGGAACTACTTGGTTAAAATAACCACCGAATGTGATTGTTGTAAGACTATTTGGTAATGTGCCGGGTAGAATTACTTGGTTAAATTCAAAACCGAATGTGAGTGTTGTGAGACTATTTGGTAGTGTTCCAGATAGAACTACTTGGTTAAAAAAACTACCGAATGTGAGTGTTGTAAGACTATTTGGTAAAGTGCCAGGTAGAACTACTTGGTTAAAATAATAACAGATTGTGAGTTTTGTGAGACTATTTGGTAAAGTGCCGGGTAGAACTACTTGGTTAAAATGATAACCGAATGTGAGTGTTGTGAGATTATTTGGTAATGTGTAGGGTTTGACTACTTGGTTAAAACGATGACCGAATGTGAGTGTTGTGAGATTATTTGGTAATGTTCCGGGTGAAACTACTTGGTTAAAATAATCACCGAATGTGAGTGTTGTGAGACTATTTGGCAATGAGCCGGGTAGAATTACTTGGTTAAAATCACTACCGAATGTGAGTATTGTGAGACTATTTGGTAATGTGCCGGGAAGAATTACTTGGTTAAAATAACGATCGAATGTGAGTGTTGTAAGACTATTTGGTAATGTGCCGGGTTGAACTACTTGGTTAAAATAATTACCGAATGAGAGTGTAGTGAGATTATTTGGTAATGTGCCCTGTAGAACTACTTTGTTAAAATCACGACCGAATGTGAGTGTTGTGAGATTATTTGGTAAAGTGCCGGGTTTAACTACTTGGTTAAAATCACGACCGAATGTGAGTGTTGTGAGATTATTTGGTAAAGTGCCGGGTTGAACTACTTGGTTAAAATAACCACCGAATGTGAGTGTTGTGAGATTATTTGGTAAAGTGCCGGGTAGAACTACTTTGTTAAAACGATGACCGAATGTGAGTGTTGTGAGATTATTTGGTAAAGTGCCGGGTTGAACTACTTTGTTAAAACGATGACCGAATGTGAGTGTTGTGAGATTATTTGGTAATGTGCCGGGTGGAACTACTTTGTTAAAATAACTACCAAATGTGAGAGTTGTGAGATTATTTGGTATAGTGCCGGGTTGAACTACTTGGTTAAAACGATGACCGAATGTGAGTGTTGTGAGACTATTTGATAATGTGTAGGGTTTAACTACTTGGTTAAAATCATCACCAAATGTGAGTGTAGTAATTGTATTTGGTAAAGTTGTTGGAGTTAACATGTTATTAAAAGTGCACAAATATAAATTTTTCAAAAATGGTGGAAATTCATTTTTATCTGGTAGTGTATCACCATGCCATTCAAGTGATGTTATATATGATTTATCTTTTAACTGGTCATAACTTGATCTATCAAATTCCACAACATTATGTTCAATAAACTTTAAAATATGTTTATGAATTTCATATCTTAAAAATATATTATTCCAAACTATATATAATAATCTATAATGAATAGTTAAAAAGAGAAAACACCAATTAATATGCTTTTAATTAATCGACTATTATTTATATTATATTGTATTGTATTGTATTGTATTGTATTGTATTGTATTGTATTGTATTGTATTGTATTGTATTATATTGTATTGTACTTACCTATCACTAATATTACTACTGTTTTTTAACTCTTCATTTACTCGAAAGTTAATTAGAGATGAGAGCAGCCCATCCATTGTCAATATAAAAAAATAAAAAAATATGAAATTAATATCTTGTAAAATATAAAAAAATTTCAAAAAAAAATAAAAAAAATTTAATATTATGGAAATTTTTATATGGCAAATATTAATTTTTTATTTACATTTCCCATATTAAAATTTTTTTATTTTTTTTTTTTTTTATCAAAATTTTTAAATGGCATGTTTTGATCCCAACGCATAATGTATGTTTTTTTTTTTTTTTTTTTTTTTAAAATCTGAAAAAGTTGAAAAAAAAAAAAAGATAATATTTATTTAAATATAATAATAATTATTTTCATATTCATCTTCACTTTCAGTTTCATCAACGAAATAATCTTCATCTCTAAGAGGAACCTTTTTTATCTTTAAATTTGTAAGATAAACCAAAATTAAAAACATCTTTTTATGATTTTTAGAAGTTGAACGCCATGGTACAGTAAGAACTTTCCATTTCTTTATTTGAGCAAAAAAATTTTCGACTATAATTCTATACGATGATACGAAGTTGTTTTTATTAAAATTTAATTCATCATCATCAGGATGATTTCCTCTTTTTCTTTTTGGTGTTAAAATACGGATATCATCAATATATATTGATGTTAACCTTTATCACCAAAAACTATTTCTCTTTTATGTAATGACTGTCAAAGCTCCATTAAAAAATCAATTTAGTTTAAAGTTTTTTTTTTGAAAAACTATTATTTAATTTTCTTTTTAAAGAATAAAAGTATCTATAATTTATTTTTTAAAAGGATAAAATCTGCATTTATTTATCAATTTTTTTGATTTACTGATTTATTTATTATAAATCATCTATGAACATTTGATTCTTTTGAAATTCACTATTTGTTGGATGGTTGAGAGTGAATTAAAATTAAACATCCAATCCAACCCTAGTATTTGCATTCTGGTGGAGAAATGTTTTTTTTTTTTTTTAATGATGGATTAAAAATTTAGCTAAGGCTTGTTTTTGCATATAAATTTATTAGAAGATAACAATGTTTATAAAAAAGAATCAAAATAAAAAATTTAAAATATAAAAAAAAAAAAATCTATTTAAATTTTATGATATTTATAAAGATATTAATAAAAAAAGAAGTTAAATCCTCTTTTGCTACATATTTTTTTAAGTCTCATAAATTCACAATTTTGTGTTTTTACACTTAACATTTAAAAAAATATCCAACATTATTTTCACAATTTTGTGCATTAGATACTTTACTTTTTAAAAAAAAATAAAAAAAATTATAAATATCAGATTTTAAAATTTTTTATTTTTATCAAAAACAAATAAAATGAAATTTTTTAATAATGTAATTATATTTTTAATAGTATGTGCTGCTTCATTTATCAATTGTCAAGAAACTCCAATTTTTAAAGCATACAGACCAACTGCTGAGGGAGTTGAAGGACAAGCGGTAGAAGGATGGACTATATTTTGGTTATAATTTCGATTTAAAACAACTTGACACAGAATTTAAAATAGGTACCTATCAATATGCCTCAACATTTAATACCGTGAGAAACCAAAGTGCTATTCTTTTCAATAATATGTTTGACTATAAACCCCCAGTATTCAAAATTGGTGAATCATTCACAATTACAGCCAATATTGCCAATAAAGATATAGTTTCACAACCAATATCATGTAAATATCAAGAAGCAAGTTATCTTAACATTAAAAAAGATGAAGATGTTTTCTTTGACAAAAAAGGAGGTAAAATGAAAATCGCCGGTTCATTCTCTGATTTAGATATTTCCAAATATCAAGTATTACTTAAAAATATCGAATTTCAAGTAACAGCAATTGATAAAAACTCTATTACTGTTCAATACCCAGAATTTATAGGAGACTTTTTTGGTTTTGATTTATCACTTTTTATAATTCATAAAGAAGTTTGTATTTACGATCAAACTGAAAAAATTCAAATTGAAGAATATTTAGATCCAATCTCTGCTGAAGAACCACCTAGAAGACTCATCCAAAGGTAGTAATCCAGGCTCTACACATGCACCCACATCCTCTGGTGAAAATGTTGATGAACCCTCCGATGCATTTAAATCATTTTCAATACCATCAATTGTAATTGTTACTATTTGTTTAATACAATTGTTCTTTTAAATAAATTAAATTAAAACCCTTTATTATTATTTTAAAACTATACAAAAAATTTTAATATATATTTGATTTCTTTTTTTTAAATTCTTAATATTATTTAATTATTTTTTAATTTTTTTAATATTAGCAGCTTCTGAAGATTTAACAAGATTGAATTTGATAAACCACGAGCACAAGTTACTAATTGTTCTTCAGTAGTTGGGTCATTAAAGTCATTTGATTTTACAGCGCATAAAATTTTTAATTGTGTAGAGAAATTACCACCACAATCACAATAGGTTAAAACATTTTGATTTAATCTTTATTAGCCAATGAAACACCAGATGCAGCAACAATTTCAGCTGGATTTGAGACAACAGCGGTAGTAAGAGCTTCTGAACCTTTTTGTGTGGCGAAAATAACATTATTCAAATGTCTCTTGGCTGCTTCATCATTTGGATTTTCTAATAATGGTTTCATTGCTTGAATTAATTGTGGAGTTAATTTCTTAAGATCTTCAATTTGTTTTAATAACATCTTTTTAAATGGATAAATATTTTTTTTTTTTTTTTTTTTTTGTTTATTTTTTAAAATAAATTAAATAATATTTGTTTAAAATTTTTCAGTTAAATAATATTTTTAAAAAATAAAATATGGAGTGTTTAAACGAATATTATGAATGTTTAAAAAGTCAAAAATTATTAAATGGAAATAATTTTTATTTTTTATAATTTTTTTAATTTTATTAATTACATGAAAAAGTAGATGTCAATCATATAGAATTTGGTTGTTATATGTCAGTCGATACAATTGCTGAAGATGAAGTTAATCGTGCTACTGCCAATCTTCAAATTTCAAGTGCTATCATTGTTGCAAACCGTTGTCAAGATCCAGTTAAAAAGAAGATGTTATTAAAACTATAGTTTTTTTATATGACATGAGTTTAATATTAGAAAAAAAATTAAATTATTAAATTTGTATATTTGAACATACTTGGGCATTAATATAGGATTTTTAATTAAAAAAACCTCAATTATTTCATATTAATAATAAAATAACAATATAATTTTTCCTTATCAATTTTAAATAAATATAAAAAAAAAATTTATTTTATTTCGAAATAAAAGCTAAATATTTTTTTTCATTAGAAAAATTAATAAATAATTTTTAATAATAATATATTAATAAAAAAAACTAAAAAATTAATAAAGTGGGTGAATATTATTTGTTAAATAGTAATTACCACTAAATTTTATTTTATTTTATTTTTTTTATTTTTTTATTTTATATTTTTTTTTTTTATTATATTAAAAGCAAATGCTTTAAATTAATCATTTTTTTTTTTTTTTTAAAAGTGAAGATAATTAATTAAATTAATCTTTTTTTTTTTTTTTTTAAAAAAAATCTTACTTAATGATATAATTTATATTATTAGCGTAAGAGACGGTATTTTATTAAATAAAAATTTTAAATGGTATGTGTGAGGATTTGTATTGTTATAGGTATGTGATTGGGAAATTGAACAAAGTGGTTTCTGGTAATTTATAAAAGGTTGATATTTTAGATCTAATGGTTTGGATATGGTTTGAATTTATTTGCTTATCTACTTTTAAGAAGTTGTTGTGGTTTGATTGGATCGTTCTTGCATATTCTAATGAGGCCGGTTTGGTACATTTGTGTTGGATGTCCTTATAGTTTAATGATTTAGCAATTGCATTTGGGTTTATCTCTTTGTTAAATATTTTGGTGCATACCCAAATCCAGACTTGGTGGGGGATAATTGAAATCATGTTTCTGTAGGTCGGTGTTCTATCAAGATCAAAATCGAGGTCTCTATAGCACTATCGGAATGGTTCATCTTGAGGGTGTATTTGGTAGTCGTATTCGCTGCCACCATAGAATTTATCAAGTTTAGATTGAGGTGTTATTAATCAGTAAAATATTTTTTTAAAAAGTGAAGATATAGTAAAATAAGGGCAAATAATTATGTAATGTATTCATATGCATTTTAGAATTAAATGAATATTACAGTTATAATTATATCTCAACTAAATAATATATTTATATTTTCCTTTATTTTAAATAATTTATTATTTAAAATTAAAAATTAAAAATAAAATAAAAATAAAAAAATTGAAAAATTTAAAAAATAAAATTTTTATTTTTTAGTTTTCAGTTTTCGGTTTTAGTTTTCACAAACAAAGAATTGTATATTTATTTGATTATTAGAATTATTTATATTTATTATTTATCTATAACTAAAGTAGCTCCATCTACATTACAATTAAAACAAAAACCCCAAAAAAAAAAAAAAAAAAAAAAAAAAAAAAAAAAAAAAAAAAAAAAATCACCAGGAAGATTTCAATATTCTAAAAAGAGGGGCCTTTGCGAGATTCGAACTCACGACAGATTTACCCTAAAAATCCATTATACCAACTTAACTAAAAGGCCTATGATATTAAAATACATGGTTATTTACATTTTTGAATTAAATAATGCAAAAATTAAATAATCGAAATTAAATTACTAAAAATTCTTTTAAAAATAAATTAATAAAAGTCGTGTTAACCTATGCACCATTCTTATTGAAAGGGTAAGTCAAAAATTCGTGGTTAGCAATTAATACAAAAAAAAAAGAATAAAATATTAATAGGAATGATTTTTTTATTTAAAATTTTTTGTTTTTTTCAATTTTAAATATAAAAAATTCTGAAAAACAATTAATCAAAATATAAATATATAAAATTTTATGAATTTCTATAAAAAAAATTAAATGGTTTTTATTTAGAAATTAAAAGATATTCTTGGCTGTTTTTCATCCCCAAATGGTGGTGGTGGAGTATTTGAACATGTTATAGTGTATGGATATGGGTTATTGCTATCTGCATTATTACAAGTACCAAGGGAATAATCAGTATCTTGACAATTTAAATTTTGACATGTACGGGCAATTGGAAAATTATTTACACAGGTATATTCAACTGTTTTACCATTTTCTAATGGTAAGACATATTGATTTGTATAATATTTATAATCTTGTTTTAAATAAAAAATAAATTTTGTTAGTATTAGATATATAAAAAAAAAGTTAAAACAATACTTACAACTATCTCCAGAACATTCGCCCTCTTTAGAGTTGTAATAATAAGTGTAAACAAGAGCATTTCTTGGTGGAACACCTTCAGATGAAACAATGCTTTGGAATGTTGGGCTGTTTGGTACATAGAAATTAGAACAACCAAAATTAGCAAAAGTATAATTGACCAAAATTTGTTTAGATTGGCAATTATCCATCCAATATACATCAAAACTAAGACCATTTCCACTGGTGTAAACACTACTATTACCAAAGTTAACACATGATTCATATGGCAAACTGTAACCAATACCAGCAATAAAGTTTGATTCACATATTTCATTATTCATTGTTGGTGAAATATAAATACTACCATTAGGTATACATAAACTACCGGTGATGAATATTAAAACAATAATTAATAATGATACTATTAATTTCATTTTTATTGAATTTTAATTTTTATTTGTTAGCTAAGAAAAAAAAAATTTGTATTTATAAAAATGATTAAAAAAAAAAAAATTTGTGTTTATAAAAATGAATAAAAAAAAAAAATTTAAATAAAAAATATTTTCAGCATTACTTTGGATTTATTAAAAGGGTTTCACCAAACATCCCAGAGAAAAAACCACGAACGGAATATAATAGTATTTAAAAATGCAAATAGAATGAAAAGATATTATTTTTAAAACCATTGATACCATACACAAAAAAAAAAATATAGATTTTGGGACATGGTACCAAAAAAAAAAAAAAGTTAAAATAAAACAAATTTATTTGAGGTATTTATTACTTAAAGATTTTTTCTTCACTTGTTTCATCTAAATAAAAGTTGTTTATTTTTTTTTTATTTAGTTTAATTTAATATTTTGATTTATAAAAAAAATTATTTAAATATATATATATACAGGTGAATAAAAAAAACTTAATACATATTATTAATATTTTGTTTCTCTAAAATATTATTCGCATTGTACAACAAAAAAAAAAAATTGAAAAGAAATGGGAAAATTAAAAAAAAAAAAATTTCGAAAAATATCTGTAAAAGAAATAAATTATATATAATTTAATTAAATTATTTTTTAATTAAAAAAAAAAAAAAAAAATTTTATTTTTTTTGAATTAAATTTTTTTTTTTTTAAAAAAACGTTCGGATAAATTCCTTACAGACAACCCCTTGAAAATTAGGAAAAAAAAAAAAATTTTAAAAAAAAAAAAAAAAAAATTTATTATTGATTTTTAAACACCTTTTAAATTAAAAACTTCTTTTTTTTTTTTAACTTTAAAAAATTAAAAAAAAAACCAAAACTTTGAAATTGACTTTAAAAATGGAACTATTTAGCAATGTTTTACAAGAAAACATATGTCAATGTATGATATATACTGACAAAGATAAATATATCAACAAAAATATACATACTTACAAAATGAGTGTGATATATATACTGACAAAAATACACATACTGACAAAATGAATTAGACATATATACTGACAAAAAAAAAAATTTTCATAAAAAAAAAAATATTTAAATCATGTTTAAAAAAATAAAACTATAATAATCATAATAATAATAATAGTAATATTTAGATAAAAATAAATTATTAGTAAAAAAAATAAATATAATAATAATAATATGGAAAATAATAATAATAATAATAATAATAAAGAAATCATTTTAATTAATGATAATTCAAATGTTGTTCAAAATATTTGGGTATTTCAAATTGAAAACATTAGTAGCAAAAAATTTAGTAATTTTGCGAAAAATACAGTTGATTCACTTTCCCCTAATGCTTGGCTTAATGATGAAGTTATTGGATTTTATATTTTTTTTGTACTCCAACCAATTTATCATCTCAAAGATATTGTAATTAATGATTCTTTTTATTTAGAATGTCTCAAAAATAAAAATATCAAAAAAATAGAACAAATTCCAGAAAATATAAATTATTCTATTTATATAATCAACCACAATAAGTAAGATATTTTTTTTTTTTTAAAAAAAAAATCCAAATTTAATATTAATAATAAATTTTTTTTTTTTTAAAAAATTAGTCAACACTGGTATTTTATTATTGTAGATTTAACAGAGTTTAAAAATAATGGATCAATCAAAATTTTTAACCTAGACTCTATGGAAAAAAAATATATGAATGATGAAACATTGGAATCAATTAAAAAAGATATTAAAAATAGACTCTCTTCAAAAAATAATAACCACAAACCATTATATTCAAATTATAATGTTAAAGTTCCACTCCAAAAAGATAACAATTCATGTGGTCTATATTTACTAGAAACATTAGAGGTTTTTTTTCAATCCCAAAATAAAAAACAAATTTTAGAAAATGGTTTCCCACATTCTTTTTCAACTGATTTAGCAAATAGAAAAAGAATAGAAATTTTATCTTATTTTGATGATAATTATTTTAAAAATCATCTTGATCAAGAAATACAATCAAAAGTTTCAAATATTAAATTATTATGGACTAAACTACCTTATAGTATTTTAAAAAATTATAATAATAATAATAATAATAATAATAATAATAATAATAATAATCAACAAAATACTATTTTAAATAATTTAAATAATACTATAGATAATAGTTTAAATCGTTATAATAATAATTTAAATAATTTAAATAGTAATAATTTTAATAATAGTTTAGATATAGATTCATCAATTTATAAAATAATTCTTTTTCCAGTATGGGATGAATATTTTAAATTAGAAAAAGTTAAAGATAGTTTAAAAGATCAAGAAAAAGATAGATTTAAAGAGTTGGATTTTTTATTTAAAAGTATACAAACTGATTGTAGTTCAAGAACAGAAATACTACCAACTCTTAGTTGGTTTCAAGAATTATTATTTGATAAAATAATAAATTATAATGATTTAATAATTCATATATATGATAATGATAAAGAAAATAAAAATTTATCAAAGAATTTATTTAAAAAAGATTTTAATGTAAGTATTTAAATTATTTAAATTATTTATTAATAAATATAAAATTTTAATTTAAATTATTTAAATTATTATTTTAAAAATAGTTTTTAAAAATTTATGATGGTAATGATGAAAATTTATCAAATTTAATTATAAAAGAAGAAACAGAAGAAATAAAAATTAAAGTAAGTATTATTACTTTATTATAATTTTATTAAAAATTAATTTTATATTAATAATTTTTTTTTTATATAGAAAACTGATTTTTTATTTGATATTGAATCAAATTTTTATAGAAATTCAATCAAAACAGTTTTTGGTAATAGACTTGGTAAAGGAAATAATTTAATTAAAGATATTGATTTAAAAGAAAAACTAAAAAGATCAATTTCAAAAGGTATCCCTAAAGATATTATTAAAGCTAAAATCAATTTAAATTTTGAAAGAGAAATCGAAAGTGTTTGTAAAGATAAAGATAATTTTTTTGAAAAATTAATCTCAAGATCATCAAAATCAATAATTGAATTATATAGTGGTATAGAAGGTTTCAGTTATAATTACGAAATTGTTAAATTAACAACTTTGGCTTTTACAAATTATAAGAATCATTTCAAAATTAGGTTTGAAAAAACTGTTTCCAATTATTTATATCAATTTCAAGAAGATTTATGTATCACAAAATATCTTATACATGCATTCATTAATAGTATTTTCCAATCAAACAAAAATTATATTTCAAGTAGTTTGTTCAAATGGAGTGAAGAGTTTAAAGCATTACATAATGAACTCTTATATACCTGGAAGTATGTAAAATATCAAAGCTGTTATCTTTTTGGTGAAATGGTATTATTAAAATTATTAAAAAAAATTGAAACTAAAATGTATCAAAGAAACCTTGTCAATAGTAAACCTCCACATGTTGTTGCTGAAAATGGTAAATCATTAGAGTATGATTATAATTTACCAATAAACGATACTTCAAATATCACTTGGAGAGAAGAAAACAAACTAGAAAGATTAATGCAACCAAGACCAATCACTAAACAAAATTTATCAGATGACTATTTAGAGCAAATTAGACTTGGTAATTCTTCAATTTTATTTAAGAGATCCATCCATGATTGGTTTATTATTTGGTATTTAAATTATAATGTCAAAGATCTTGATTATTCAGATTGGCATCAAGTACTTTTACAGTTTTCAATTTTTTTATTTAATCGTAAAGGTTCAATTATTAAGCAATCATTATCGGAAAAGAAAAAAAGAAATCAATTATTAAATAATGTAATGATCGATGGTACACTTAGATCAATAAATAGAATCACTAGAAAAGAATGTATGATCCAATTAGAATCAAGAAATGTTCAATTTCACGAAAATTGTCCAAAAAGAATTCTTTTACAAATTCTTAAAAAAAAACTTTTAGAAATACAAGAGGCAAAAGAAGAAGAAAAATCAAATCTTACCAAAGTTGAAAAGATTATTATTGTTAAAGGTAATGAAAATCAATTTATCAATTCTTTATTGGGTTCATTAATGTATAGTGATGAAAAAGAATTATTTGAATTGAATCAAATTCAATTAAATCAATCAAAAGAAATTTTAGAAAATAAACTTTATGAAATTAATCTTCAAGAACAAAAAGATCAAATTAAAAGAGATCAATTAAAAGAAAATGATAAGCAAATTAAAAATCAAATATTAAAAGAAAAGAATGTTAAAAAGAGAACAATTCACCAACAACAAGAACAAGATCAATCAATTTTAATCTATCCAAGCTCTACAAATATTTTCAAAAAACAAAAAACAAATGATTCTTTATCATTAACAACAAAATCAATTTTACCACACCAACTTTGTATTGCTTGTAATAAAAAGAAATTTGGTAGTGGTTGCAGTAACCAAAGATGCCTAGATTGTTGTAAATTTTATTTAAATAATGATAAAACAAAAATTTGTAAATATGGATATCATAGACAACAGTTATTAGATAGTGATAATAATAATAATAAATATAGTATGCTACCAGGTGGTTCATCAAATGAAAAAATAAATCTAACAAAAAAACCAAAAACAATAACAATGGAAACTTTTCAATTAACTTCAAGTTATAAATTTAAAGAAATTTATGGTATTGTTAATTATGGTGATACCTGTTTTTTCAACTCGGCAATTCAATCAATATTTAATTCTCAACTATGTGATATTTTAAAAGAAGAAATTGATTGGTCACTAGATAAAACCAAATTAAAACAATTAATAGATTATAGTAATATTCATAATCAATTAGAAAAATATGATATTATTTTAAAAAATGTTAACATTTTAAAAGATAATAGAGCCATTATTATTGCTTTCAACTTGATTCCATTATTTCAAAAAATTGCTAAAAAATATAATGACTCATCAAAAGAAATTTTAGAAGATATTAAGGAAGAAGTAGATATAATAAATGTTTTTTTCAAAGAAATAACTGGTAATGAAAATCAATCTCAACAAGATATTATAGAATTTATCAATTTTTTTTATTCAATTTTTGATACATTTTTTATTAATAGAATTATTTTACAACAACAACAACAAGTTGAACAAGTTGAAGAAAAAGAAGAAGAATTATTATTAGATTTAAAAATTAATTCTAAAATTAAATATATTAAAAAATATAAGAATTTATTTTCAAAATATGATTTTCATATACATAATTTTTATCAAATTTTAAAAGAAATTAAAGACCAAAATGATTTTCAAAATTTATTAAAAGAAAAAAAGGATCAAGATAGAATTAGAGATCAAAAGAAAGAAGAAAGTTATAAAAAAATTAAAGAAGAAAATTCAAATAAAACACCTCTAAATCAACGAGATACTGATTTTTTGAAAGAAGAAATTAAACTTCAAAGAAAAGAAAAACTTGAAATATTTGAACAAGAAATTAAAAAAAAACATCATCCACTTACCCTTCAACTATTATTAAAAAGAGAAATTATTAGAATGTGTAAATCTTGTTTTCAAATCACAGATCATAGTTTCACCCGAGATATTGGTGAATCCTCTTGTTTAGAAGAATCTCAAATCACAGATATTACAAACAAAATTAGCAAAAGTATTATTGAAATGACACACGAAAATATTTTTTGTCCATTTTGTTTTAAAAACAATTTTTTAGAGAGAAAATTACTTTTAGAGCAACCTAAAATACTTTACATTAATTTCAAAAGAAATGTTTTCAATTATTTAACTGGTGATTTTGAAAAATCAAAAAAAGAAATTAATTTTCAAATAATTAATCAAATTCAAATTTTTAATAATAATAATGATGATTATGAAAGATATTTTTATCAATTCAAGTCCATATCAAAACATATTGGTAGTCATTCAAATAATGGTCATTATATTTCATCAGTTTTAACCAAAGATAATAGTGAAATAATCATTTGTAATGATCAAAATTTATCAAAACTTCAAAAATTAGATATTTCATATTTTAATCAAAGTTGCACAATTTTTTATAATTTAAATAATAATATTAAAAATGATCAAAATTTAGTTTTAAATTTAAATAATTTATATAATTCAATAATTAATGGAAATAATATTCAAAATAATCAAAATAATAATA